ATTACTTAATCCTAGAGGAACTATGATTTGACTTTAATTTATCATGCATTTTTGCATGCAGTCAAAAGAGCTTTCAAGGCACACTTAACAGATAGCCATATTAGATTGCACAGACCTCCTTTTTTCCTTCATCCAAGGGTCATGGCACTACATGACCTGACCAGTCACTGCTTGCTGTGGGAGAATTATCAGTTACCAGCTGAAAGGCTGGTAACCTTAGGCTATCCTGCCATCAGCATGTGCTTCCACATAGTAGTTAGCCCTGAAAATGTTCATAGTACTAAATCATTTCTTCCTCTTCTTGCCCTGATACTGACTGAAATGCCCAGAAGGAAAATTTTGTCTGACATCTTGGACATTTTGGCCATAGAGTTTGAGTAAAGCGTTTTAGATTTCAGTATTCTTTAGACATTAAAATTGTGACAGATAAGAATTCTTCTTGCTTTTTAGTTAAGTCCGCTGGTAATTTATGTTCGACTGGATATAAACAATCTCAGTTTTATTTGTGTTATTGCATTGCCCAGAATCCTAATTATGGTCCAAGACAACATGTACTACATACTAAGAAAAAACAATTTAAAAACCCACCACAACCCAGAAACATAAAAGTATCTAGGGATTAATTCACAGTTGATTGCTAAAAAAAGAAAAAGAAGGAAACGTGCAAGCAGTGACTGTGTGGACAAACTAGATGAGCAACTCTTTCAGTACCACTATGATAAGGCTGAGTTGTAGGAGGACTACTGCAATTCTCCTTACATTCCAGTAGGTGGTATTGCCAGTCATCATGATACTGTTTGAACTGCAAAAAGTGAATAAGACACCTCCAGGATGCTGCTTCGTCCCATAACCTCAGCCTACATGTGAGTATTAGCAGGTTGAAGGATTAATGGAAACATGGCCAGAAGCTGTTTGGGGTGGAAAAGCATAAGCAACCTTTACACTTACCACATAATTGGGGTGATGGGCTTGTCAACAGTGCAGATCTGCTTTAAACATAAGGTGGAGTTGATGCAAGCTAGGGGAAATCTCAGGCACTTCCTGGGTGATACCTAAAATCAAGTTCTGGAAAAGTGTAATAACTTTTTTGTAATATCTTAAAAATACACTGCACAGTGAAATAAAGCAATAATTCAGTTGGTCTCCACTCCAACAATAATAAACAGGGATGTGCTATCTGATATTTAACACCTGACAGCCTGATCCTGGCTTTATTTATTAAGATAATCCATTATTTATGTAGTATCCTTGTTGGATAGCGCTTCTCAGGAAAACAACCTGTAAAGTTAAAAAATTTATCAGATAGGGAATTTCAGAAGGAAACAACAGCAACACAAACCAGTTGGAGATAAAACCTGTTTCTGGGGTAAAATCCAACATCTCGGAGCACGACAAACTTTGGTCTTTTACATTCAATTAATTTTCTGATGCTCTTGAAGATGTGGGAGTGGGGCAGTAAGGTTAGCCGTGATAAGCAGCATAAATATATATGTCTGTGGAAAACGACCCCGTGTAACCTTTGTCAGGTTTAAGAACAAACGGAATGAAAGTCCCCGCAGGGGGGGCCGGGCTGAGCCACCCGGTCGGAGGGTCTCAGGCTCCCTCTCGAGGACATCGCTGTTAATTACAAATAAATCCTCCAGCTCCACTGCTCCTGCAGCCTTCACGTGTGCAAAGGAAGGAGCAAACCCCAAATGTTCCAGGCATAAGCCTAGGACAGAAGAATCCCCAATATAAAGTTGGTTTAGATATGAAATATGTATATAGAGAGGGACGCAGGCACTTCTGATGGCTCGTTAGGAAACACTGCCAAGCTTGCCTCTTGGCAAAGGTGTTTCAAACAAAAGAATGACATGTGTTGATAAGCACAGTATTCCTTACATCATGGTAAAGTTGCTAGAAAATATATAGGTCCACAAAGAATGTGGGGAAATCAAAGCAATATTTTAGTCATGAAAGAGGAGTAATTATTGCCACAGGGGAACTATGGCTCTGAGAGTTAAGGATGTATTTGCAGAGTGATTGACAGCTGAATTGAATGATGATCAAGGCAAGGAATACTGAATTCTAGCAGCCTTTATTGCATACAATAATAAAAACTACATTGCAGCTATTATTGTTACTGCTAATGTTACTATAATTATACACAAACCATGCTCAACACTTACAGAAAATGTGAACAGATACCACAGCAACCCCTCTGCACACTGAGTAACCTTCTGACCATCAGCATTTCAGCCCAGCAGCCCCAGGGCCATCACACTCCCATGCATCACCTGTGGTGACCAAAGTGCACCCATGCTGATGACAGTGGGACACCGGCACTGACCCAGATGCAGGACCACAGGTACAACTTCTCTGTCTTTGGCACATAACAAAGGCAGGGTCCTTTCCTCTGATCTGTTTGTGGTCAGATACACCCCTCCACAGTTTTTGGATTAATTTTCCCCAAATTTTGGGATGGTTACTGATCTAGGTGTCCCACAGGTCACCCAGTGAAACAATTCTTCATTTAGTTTGTGACATCGCTCAGTTTCCAGGTGGGTTCTCTTTTACTGTTAGTTTTGAACACTTAGCTGAAAGATCAACACTTTCTTCCCTTTTTTTATTATATCAATCGCTGCAGTTTACATATTTGCCTCTGGCAGACTTTAGCTGTCTGGGGAAGGCCATGCAAAATCCTCCACAGAGGAGACAGGGTGAAGAGAAGTTATTCTGAAACAATGACTTGCCACATGCTTTACCAGGACAGCACCAGTTATCCTACTAGTCAGGAGCTAGTAACCATTGAAATGAGGGGACCTAGAGATGTAGGTAGGAGCAGATTTAACCAGTAAAGCAAATGAACAGGTGACATGAATGATAGGTCTGCAGTTAGGAGGGCAAGCAGCTGAAAATTAGTTTCATCAGTGTAAAGGTGGCAGCCTTTCTATTTAACCCAAAACTCGGAGAACTCAGAAATGCTTTGATTTCTATGCAAAGCTGATGAGGAAGTTTTTTTTCTTTGTGTGTGACTATAAAGGAAAAAGTGCTATAGGTAAATACTGGGCAAATACACAATGGAGCTGAGTCTGGTGAAGAGGTGAGAGCTTTATGTCTGATAAACATAAATAGTCTTACCTAAGGCATTAAATATATTGATTTTTCTGGTGTACCTTCCCTGCCTTTCTAGTGGTGACCAAGGAAATCCTGTTCTAAAATTTCCAAGTTCCTGTGGCTCTAAACTTAACATTAGTTTAGTATTCAGACCAGAATTTTCTGAACACAGGAATTTGATAGCAAGCTGTTACAGCTGTAGCTGCTGCTAATGCCTCTTTTCTCTTACAGGTTATTACTAATAGGAATATTAATTTCTGAGATATGGACCCAAGAGAGACCAGGTAATGCTGCTGTAAAGTGCTTTCACATAATAATTTCCATGTTTTTTTCATAGGAGATATCTGTATTTGTGTGGGGGTGAATCAGAATAGTCTGAAACTCTTGTGGCAGCCCTATTTGCATGTTTTTCTGAGAAACTCCAAAAATACAGGTGTCTATTGGCAACTAGTTGTGGCCGCTCTTTAGATTTATGTACCATCATACTAAGGAAATGTTTCTGCCTTTCCTCACTCTGGTAACAAGCACTGATAAATTAATAGGGACTTCATTGTTGTTCTTGTTTTCTTGAGCCTACCTGGTTTTATTAACCATAAAATAAGTAAGGTCTTTTAAATACTAGAAAGATATCAGTGCTTTGCCTGAGAAGAAAAAGTTTTCTTAACCAAAACTGCTGTCTGCTTTATCTTCTTCCTTCCGAAACAGAGCTGGTCCTGAAACAGCGGATACAGAGAGCTGGTTCTAGGACTGTCTGACCTGCTCACTGCAGGTGCTGTATAAACATGTTAGCCTTTACCAAAGATCAAAATAAAAAGATACTGATGGGGATTTTATCCAGCCTGGAGCAATTACATAGCTTCTGCACTGAATCAAGTTGGTAGCTTGGAATAAGGGCAGAATAAGGTCATGTCCACTAGCATCTGTCTGATGTTCCCTACTGTGACCAGCTCTGACATGAGAGTTGCATCTCTGGTAACTTAAGAGTAGAGTGCTGAACTCCCTAGTAAAAAGGATCTTCTCGGTCCTTTAAATGCACTGTTACTATGAAAGGTCTAGTTGGCATTAGCTCCCTGTGCCATAGAAACTTCTGTGTGAAACGTCAAATCCTAGTGTATTGGAAATATATGTCAAATAAAAAGTCTTCTCTGATCTATAGTCCTACATCTAGAACAGTGTGTAGCTGCTTCCTGCCTTTAAGAGGTTTGGCAGCCATAGCTTGGTTTATGCTGTGGTGATAGCTTGGGACTTGAGCTTCTCAAATACGTCTTCTGTGCTCCTGTGTGGCCCTTCACCAGTATGAGCCAACTGGCTTCTGGTACTGGGGCAGCTGACCAGGGCAGGCTGCTGGGTAGCTGATGCGGCTGCTCCCCATCCTGAGTTGGCTTGTGAGTAGGTGTGTGTGGTTTGGGGGCTTTGCTTGGGGTCTTTGTTGTTGCTGTTTGGGGGTTTCTAGGTTTTTCTTTTATCTTTTTCAGGAGGGTGGGGTGACCTTCTTAATTTTTTTATTCTGTTTTATTCCATTTAAGGTGTTCAGGTTGGGGCAGCCAATCCCGTACTTTCATGTCCCTGTTCCAAAATCCTATTTACATGACTGGCTGCTGCAGGCAGCATTGCCAGCTGACCAGACACAGTTACTGTTGGAATACTGATTTCAGAGCTGGCTTGTCTCTTGGAAGTATTGCTGGTTAGGAGTTTTCTGGGTTTTTTTTGTTTTTTTTTTTTTAAAGGGGCAAAAAAACACCCACAAACAAAAAAACCTCTATCACCTCCTTACCAGAGATGCTAGAATATGACTATCACAACACGGACTTTATAAAGCAGCCTGAGAAGTAGCAGGTTTCTGTTTGCGTGTTACCTTTAATCCACCTGTTTACTAGCCTTTCAATACCTTCAACACAGGACCTATGAGTTGGGAGTGCTTGGGGAACTTTCTGCGGATTACACCGAGTGCAGAATACTTTGAGGACAAATACTTATCTTTTTCTGTTGTTGGTAAGTTGGTACAGAAGAGCTTGGAGAGGGAATCACACAGGGTGAAATATATAAAATTCTCTGAGGTCCTCCTATATTAGAATTCCCTGGATTATTCTAAACTCGTGGAGCTTAGCAAGTGGCACCTCATTATAAGTAACAGCCAAATCCTACTTTTAATTCTGTATAACCTATCCTGTAGCCTTATCAAGTGATAACTTAGCAATATCAAGTCTAATCATGGCTGTCTCGGGACTGAAATTGAAATGGACATGGTGGTTAGTAGTTTCTAGACATGTTAATGCTGGTGGATTTCCCTCCTGGTAAAAGTGTTCTCCAGAAACAGCCCATACTATTTGGAAAATTCACTATCTGAAGCTGGCATGACATTAGTGATTTTGCACTAGTAGTTTTCCACCTTCTTTGCTTACAGCTAAAGGACCTGGTGGAGGCATATAAATTCTTAAAGAAGTTAAGAAAAATTAGGTGGACCCTCTGTGGTGCATTTGAGAGAAGAACACCTCAGAGTGCCCTGGAAGGGCAGAGTGAGATAACTTTTGGGCTATAAACATCATCAGGTGTAAGATTATATGCATAAAATGTAAACTTAGCCTTGAGCTAGCTCTCCATGCTAGTTAGCTGTCTAATTAGATATAGTCCACAACATAACATAGCATCCATCTTTCTAGAATGTTAAACTTGTGTAAAAACCAGCTTATATGTTCTCTGTTTAGGCATCTTCATCCATACATGAAGAAAGACAGTTAGGATATGTATAGCTTGAACATATAAAGCCATTATTTTTGGAAGAAAAAAAAAACATAAAACACAAAATGGAAAAAGCCAAAAATCACTACAATTTTTTTGTAGCCTAAAAAAACAAATCTAAGCTTTACTGTGCTTGTTGCCCTGCTATAAGACCACTGAAGAGACTCTGTCAGCCAGGCAGGGCAGGCATCAGAGAAACACGGGCCTGAGCCAGCCACAGATCAGACTCCTGATGTTGCTAGGTTGTCATCACCTGTCAATCCTGACAACTTTGATACTGAAGTAACTGACTGTTCCGTGCTTACTGGGGGTTTTGCCCCTTTAAGATTTAATCTTTCCATGATTGGGTTTTGGTTTTTTTTTTTTCCATCTTCAGTCCTTGAGCTGCTGGTGTTCCCTGTCCCAGACTCTCTGTAATTTTACCTTTCCTACCTTCTATAGACTTTCTCACAGCTCTTTTCCACCACTTTGCAACTCTCTTATGCCTGAGCCGAGGGTATGCAGCTGGGCCATATTGGAGCAAGGTCAGCTCAGGGAGTTTGCAGAGCAGGAGTTACACTCACTAATACCACACTCCACTAATTTCCTGTAGATCAATCTGGCATAGCCTGGGAGCTAGATGAGGCCATGGCATCGCAGTGTGGCTATACAGTAACTTACAGCAACTGGAGTAACGTTGAGTTTCGTGCTTCTGCACTAAGCTGCCATGCTCGCTTAGAGGTAAGTCTATTCCTGGCATTTTGAATACAGTGCTGTTGTATATGGCCTTAATACAAAAGATTAACAAATTATTGAAAGTTATTAACTGAGATGCCATAATGTTTTGAATATCTAATCAAAAAAAGTGATTTAATTCTTCTTGAATGTATCCAGAAGTCAGAGAACATACCATAGTATTGCCACTTGGATGTCCTGCAGCAAAGCACAGATGAACACTTGTTCTTGAAGGGTAACTGATTTCTCTTGGATAAGAACAGTGAATTTTGTCTGGCAGCTGTGTTGCACTCTGCTCTAGTACTTGGTGCCTGACACACGTTAGAGTAAAAGCTCAAAAGCTTTGTCTGCTTGTGTTGCTTGCTCACGGCTACTGTCATAAACCACAAGATCAGCTATATTTTAGGGAGCATTTTTTTTTGTCCAGCTCTAGGGCTATGTGCAAGGTTGAAGCTACCCTCCAAAGTGTTTATGTTGCTATGTAGCTAGACACCTATAGGCATATAGCTTTTATAGTTTAACCAAATAGAAAACAATAATTCTTTAGAATGGAGTTGCCCTTCTGTGCAGAGTCTGGTGGGTGGATTTTGTAAGCTACTCCTAATTCATAAGGGTAGTGGTGTCTAACTAGGAAAAGTTGTTCTAACAAGCAAGTGTTCCCTGTGTCCATGCAGAAAGATGTGTTCACAGTAACTGTACAAATCAAAGCATCACATACTCCTGACATGAAAAACGCTGTAACTCATCTGAAAAGTGCAAGTTGCCGTTACAGCCCGTGGAGTCCAAGAGAGTTAGTATGTGCAAGTAACTACATGGAGGTAAGTACTAGAAGTACAAATGTGAAGATACTTAAAATGAGGTAAGAAGGAAAATACTTGAAGATTATATCTTTGGAAGCTTTTTAGAAGCTAGGAATGTTTATTGAAAACAGAACTTGAATGCCCAACCATGAACAGCTTACTAGTAAATACACATCATGCATCTTGAGTTTAGTGATTCATTTGTATTATGCTTATCCAGCCAACTAGCCAGCATTAATAGCCAATCAAGTTGTGAAATGGTATTCAAAAGGTTGAGCTAATGGATTGAATCTGCTGAATTTTGCCCCAAAAAACCTTGTTTGAGATTATATTAGAAATGTATGCTTTCTGAAGTAAGTTCCCCTACTGAATTTGATGGGGAGAAATGCAGACAAGGGAAAAAGGACTCCTCTGTGAAGAGGATTTGGGAGTGAAGAACAAATTTCTGGCTTTAACTGGAAGTAGAAATGGAAAGATATGCAGAAAATAGAAAGTGAAATCAAGTGGACTGTAGATAATCTACCATGCATGACAGCATTTTATGCCATAATTTTTCACTTGAAAGCGAGGCAGGCACAACTCCCTTTAGAAAATACTAGTCGCCCTTTGCAGTCTTGTATTGTTCTGAAAGTATTGGGAAAGACTTGTAGAGTGTTGGAGAGAAGGAAGCAACTGCTACCAGCAAACCCCTTACAGTGGCTTTTTCCCTTCAGGTTTCTGTCAGGAAGGAGGTTCCACAAACTGTAAAAGACTTCATTCAGGATGAACCTGAGGACTGGACTCTTGCCTTTACAGAGGTGAAACTACAGGGTTTTTTCCTAGTGAAATGTAGTGCTACTTCTGGCACAACATCCTTCTATTCTATGTCCACACAGTACAAAATGTCCTTTCAAAAAGCAGAACTTCTGTACCAGGTGGTTTTAGCACAGAGATTTTATACGTTAGAAATACAGACAGCTTTAGGCTATGTCTCCAAGGAAGAAATGGAAACTGATTTCTCAAAGAGCCTAGAAATCAAGTCTCCCCCAGGCAAGAGACTGCAACAAAAACAGTCTCTAGGACCCCTTGGACCAGGAGTGAACTGCAGATGGGCTTTGTTCTTCTTGGACCCTATATTTGCAATGCAGCAGTGCAGTTAATCTGCAGTGCTCTTAACATGGAAAGTTTTCTGTATGTGAGAGGCTGAGCAGGGGAAGGCTGGAGAAGCATCACACTAGCAGTATTTAGAATAAGGCTACAAAACTGCTGGGCAGTTCAATACAATATATCACAATATATTGTTCAGTGTAGAAAACAAAAAAATAACTTCAAATAGAATCTTTAAACTGTTAATGAATTTCTCTGGGCAGGTAAAAGCAGGGGAAGCCTCAATATGGCAAATAGTGTTTCATCAACCAGAAGAGAAAAAGGCTTTTCTTGTGAGTGATGCTTGGAGTGCAGGCTATGGACTCAACACAACAGACACCAGGGTTCTGCTGCGAGTACCATACACTGCTGCACAAATTCAGCTGGTTGAGGTTGGTATGCTCATTAAGGCCCAGAAAGCTGCCAGGATGTGTAGGTCTAACTAGATCTCTTCCTACAGGATCAAGGAATTACCTTTACTGCAGTGAGATCAAGTATATTTTACAAACAGCGATGGATGATCCTGATGGTGGATACTGCTGTGGCATGTCCTGTAGGTGAGAAATGTGGTACCTTAGTCCAATGCTTAAATGTACAGGGACTGACTTACAACCAGAGTAATGAGATAACAGCTTTCATATCTTTTCCCTAAGATGGTGTGGACTACACTAATAAAACAATCATCTGGACTGTTCCAAAGTATGTTCAGCCACTCTCTGCTGGAGCAACTAGTTTTAAGGATGTGCTTGTTGAAGTTGGTGTGGATCTGCATAAACTCTCTGCCAAAGAAATGGCTTCCAGAAAATATGTGTTATTGAATGACTTAAATGCAATTACAATGAAGATACCAATAGGTGCAGAAGGTGGCTATTACAAGGTTAGTGACTTAGGTGGGAGGCAACAGACTTTCTGTTCCTTTTTTTTTCCTTCCCTTAGAGAGGAATAGTTCTTCATTATTTTCCTTCCAAATGAAGGATGGGGGTGAAGGGGAAGAAAGGATATGTTAAAACCCCAAAAGCCTTAACCAAAGATAGCTGTTGTAAGCACCACTTTGTACAAGCACAGATGGACAGAATACTGTACAGAACTATTGATTTCACTCGTTCCTCAGGTTAATACAGAGTTTTGCCTTTTAGTCCTGACATCATACTGCTTGGAGACAGTCCTAACTGGACTGTAAAGCATGTGTGCATTCTGTTGTATTTTAGACAGACCATTTAAGAAAATGGGAACAACCCATTTGTCCACCAGACCGTAGGATATTGTGATGGGCCAAAACTATACATCTAAATATAGTTCCTTGGCGTGAACTGAATCCTGGGCAAATGTTATAACAACAGAACTTCAGCGGCAGCTGCAGGAGGAGCCTTTTTACTGGTGAAGTAGTCCCCTGGTGCTTTGAAATTTACGAATGGGGGACAATTTCAAAAGGAAGTCTTCTGAGATAGTCTAAACTCTTCTGCAAAAATAGAGCCCATAATAGTGATCCAGCAAGTGCCACTGAAGAGATCATGACTCCTCAGAGTTGGTGTGGTTTTGCAGATTTGTTTCCCAGTATAAAAGCAGGACCACAGATTTGAAAAGGACAATCATTTGAGTTGTAGCTCTAGCAGGACCTTGAGATGCTACAATACAACTTTAATGCAAAATCATGTTATACTAAGGAGTGTTGATCTGAAATTCTAGACTTCTGTGAGCAGCGGACAGCATGGGGCAAAATACACCATCAACCTGTTCCTGGAACATCAGTGGGAAGATAACAAATGGGGACTAACTAAACATACTATCATCAAGGAAATAGAGACTCCATTTGAACAAGTAGAACTTGCTGTAACCGACTGTGAGTAGCCTAACATGGAATTTACTGAAGGTTTTGGTACTTATAAGAGCTTAATGTTATTGTGTTCCTTTTCAGACTCAAATCTGAGTGTGAGGCTAATGAATGTGACAGTGGGAACGTTCCTTCCTGATGTGGAGCTTGTGAACTTAACGATTGAGGGGGCAACTGTTGCTGTACCTGAAGCTGTTCAGCACGGATATCTAACACATGAGATCAGATATGCTAATGGAAGCAAAGCCTATGTAATACAAGTCCCCTTTAATGCACCAAGCATTAAGAAAGAGGTGTGTACTAAGACACTGCAGCATACCATGGTATAGAAATGAATGCTATCACTTGGTGATTTTTATTTCTAAATATTATTTTTTTCCCAGTATATGAGAGCAGACGTGAGAGCATACACCCTGAACGTCACAGTTGCATTCATAATCCATCCAACAAGTGAGACCTTCACTGTCCCAGTCATAACAGTGTCCACTGTGAAAGATGCAGGTAAGCTAGTGGAACTTGAGCAAAGCTGTACTAACCTGGCTGTGAATACTGCTCTTAACTGGGCTTACTTCAGCCAGGAATACTGTCAGTCCTAAATAGACCTATTAAGCTCTGATGGCAGCTAGCACTCTGGATGACTCTTGACTGTGTTACAGTACTGCCCAGTGCAAGAGGATTTTGTGATGAGAGGAACCTTCATCTCCTTATCACTCATGGAAATGTGGACCAAAACTGGCTACCCTTTATCTCAGACTGGCACCTGACCCCAGAAGCGGCGCAGGAGTACAACTACAGCCTGAGGGACAATGGCACTCACTTGGCAATCTCTGTCCCTTTCCTTTCTTCCCATGTGAACTATGAGGTAAGGATGCCAGCATGGTGCAATTGAAAGGCATGCTCTGGCTGTGAGATATGAACATGATGCACTATGTCCTTGAAGGTCATCAAATAAAACTTTCCTTTGAGATAGTCCTCCATTAATCCTTTGAAGCCTGTTTTCTGTGCTTGGAAGAACACTTTAATTTCCCTTGGTTAATATTGACAGTAACAGTCAAGGAAAAAAAAAATTCTGAAAGTACTGTAAGGCTGAGTTATCTTTAATGGCAATTGTACATGCAATGGAGTTTGTATTGCACTCTATTGCATAATGACTGAAAAAAACTGATTGTGTTGGCTTCTAGATTAAAAATAAATCTTCTGTGGATTTGACTTTGATTAAGCCCCATTACCTTTGGCTTATGATAACCTGCCTGCTTCTGTTTTGCACACTTTCGTTGAACCATGTGTCTTGATTCTCTTGTTTATCCTGTGATGGTTATCTCTAGGATTTTCATGCCTCTGGAATAAAGGCTTCACTCCACTTAACCTTGAAGGATGGCATCACCTTGGCTAATAGGAGGGACTTCTCAGTTTCCTGCAGATTTTCACCTTCAGAGCTAATAAGTAATAACATGTTGCGGATTAGCTATTAATGCTATTTGTGTTCCATAACGAAGTCACACAAGCCCATGCAGAGTCTGAAATGTTTCTAGAGTTTGTATTTGTGTGATATCCTATCTGCCTGTCAGATTTCCTACAAAGGCAAGTCAAATTAGATTGGAGTGACTATCCTGCCTAGTGTAGGAGAGAGTGAAGGAAACTCTACTTCCCCCTACACCTTCAAAAACATGAAGCTCTTAAAGGGGTTTTGCCGTTGGTTTGGGGTTTTTGGTTTGGGTGTGTTGGTTTGCTGTTTGGGTTGGGGTTTTTTTTGGGGGGAAGGGAGAGGTTAGGGATAGAGAGGGTCAGTTTATAAATTAATCATTCTAAAGCTACTCATCTGGATTGAAGGCATTGAATATTTTGGCTAGAAAAATCCCTTTGTGGGGGGCGAGACCTCTTGGGAAGGAAAAGGTGAGTGAAATCATACTTCACCCATGTAGTGCACATTCTGCTGACAGTTTGAAGAAAATAGTGTTAGTACTGAAGAGAGCCTTGTTCAAAACTTAGTCCTCATGAGCAGCAAAAATACTTCTTAGCAAATCCACACAGAATGTCTTTGTTGTACTAGGCTACAGAACAAAGGAGCTTAAGTCCCGATTTGTATGGAAAACTGTATTTTCTCTTTCAGAGTGCCTGTCCAATGGCACTGTGGTTGTTACTGCAGTGAAATTGGTAGGAATTGCAGACATGGACACCAGCCAGCTTGTGTTGAGGGACAGACAGTGCAAACCCAGCCTAGTGACAGAGAAGACTGCAACCTTTAAGTTCAATGTGAACACTTGTGGAACAAGTAGAAAGGTAAGGGCTTAGTCATGTGAAGTTTACTCTGCAGTGGGGTAGGGTTATTACTAAAACTGGCAGAGGTTCAGAGTTGAGCAGAAGCTGCAGGAAGGTCACAGGTGACTTTTTGATAAGTAGTATATCTATATTCCTTTTCTGAGAATACTAAATTCAGTTAGGCAGAAGTTCTTACTTGGTCAAAAACAGTTTTCAAGGCCAGAGGTGCTTTCTGAAATTAGCCTTCGGTTTTACCCCTCTGAATTATTTAGTAATGGACTTGAAAGTGAGTTTACTCTGATGTATACTCATATGCATTGCAAAAGCAGGTTTAGGTGTTGATAATGACTACCTGGCCTAATACTAGAGGCTACCTGCTCTGCATATTGCATAAATAGAAAACAGACAAGAAAGGATCAAATCATGCTCAAATTCAGGTCCCCACTAAAGCAGCTTACATCCGTGAGTGTTGCATATCATGCTAGACACCAATTCTGTCAACAGAAATAACTGACCTTTTAATCCCAGTGCACTTCTTTCTGGAGTGTTGTGTCATGTTCAAGGTATTGTTAACTAATAATCTGTTTCTTCTTAATTATAGCATAGCTGTCAGCTTTAGTTCAGCAGGCATAGGGCTGTTGGCCGGTAATTTCTGGCCATTCCTAAGCATACTGTGCTCAGGGTAATTGGCCAGTCAAGTGAAGGGATGTGGATATTTTGTCAAAACCAAAGTAAACTCTAATGTAACTGTCCTGTCTGTTAATGATATATATCTTTCAGTTCAATAGCACAACTATGACATATGAAAACGACGTACTCTATTTCAGACCTGGTAATGATACACTAGTATACCAGTAAGTGTCATTCCCTAGAATAAGGTTGTGCAAAGTATTTTGATTTCTAAAATCTAATGTTAAACTTTTTTCCCACAGACTGAAATTTGCATGCTCATACATAATCAAGCAGACTGTTGGTGTCCGATATGAATCCAAGAAGAACCCACCACCCAGTATTGAGTCAGGCTTTGGCTCTCTTGCTCTTTCATTGAAGCTTTTCAAAGGTAACCAGTGTGATTAGACTTCACAGAATGGTTAAGGTGGGAAGGGACCTCTGAAGGTCATCTTGTCCAACCCCCCTGCTCAAGCAGGGTCACCTAGAGCAGGTTGCCCAGGACCATTTCCAGATGACTTTTGAATATCTCCCAGGATGAAGTGGAAACCTCTTTAAGGCCTTTAACAGAGGTTTTCCATTCCCAAATGCAATACAAATGGTCACATATCTATAGTGGATCAGACAGATGCTCATGTTATCGCTGACATGAGTGTGGTTTTCCTCCTTGGTCTGGGCATGCTCAAAGTTTTGTGTAGTCAGTGTGATATCAGCTTCTCTACCTTATCAGCTCCCTAAGTGTTGCTAAGCAGAGTTAGCACTGACCAAAATAATCATAACCTGTGTCAGAGAAGGAACGTACATGTAATACTGCTGTAAAATAGTAACTACACTGGCAGAAAGGGATAACTGAAGCCTGAACCAAACCTTCACCCTGACTGGAGTGGCCCTGATGCATTTCTAGTTATTTTTTATTAGTATCTTTCTAGAGACATTTTTGAATGAGCATCGTGCTCCAATGGGTTTTTGCAGAAGGAGGAATGGCTCTCTTCTGGATCCTCAAAGCCAAGGAATATGGTTTAGATCTTTACTTTTGTTACCAGTTCCTATTTTTCTACCATCCTAACCCAGTTTGCATCCATATGTTCCCTAGATTGTGTCATTACTGTGCCAGAGTAAATGGTGGTGGAAAGAAGAGTGAAACAGAGTTCATTAATACTTACCCTGCAAAAAGGAAACTCTAACATCAATGTTCTCTTCCAGAGAAATCCTATTCAGACCCCTATCAGGAACTGGAATATCCCGTGGTAAAATACCTGAGGGAGGCACTGTATTTTGAAGTTGAGCTGCTCCAACCTGAAGATGCAAGACTTGAACTAAACTTGGATGACTGCTGGGCTACCAATTCCCAGAGCCAGGACAGCCTTCCCCAGTGGCCCATCATTATAAATGGGTAAGAAGGGCTTTCCTCCTGTGTTTAATAACTGTTCAACACAAGGCCCCTGTGCTGGTTTTGGCTGAGATAGAGTTAATTTTCATCATAGTAGACTCCTTACAAGCACTGCTCAGCAATAACGAAAACATCTCTGTATTATCAACGCTGTTTTCAGCACAAACCCAAAACATAGCCCCCTACTACAGGGCTACTATGAAGAAAACTAAATCTATCCCAGCCAAAACCAGCACAGCCCCTGACCACAGCTGGGTGGAAAGAGGAAAGAAATCAGCTTGGACACCTTGTTTGTCCTGACTGTGCAATTGCTGCAAGGCTGTGGAGCCCATGTCAGTGTCGGCACAGTGGCTATGCCTTCTGGTGGCCGCAGGTCACGGGAGTGGCAAGAAGTGCTTCTAGCTAACAGCTTCCAGCTGGAAAGAAAGAACAAGAAGTAACTTTGTGGCCAAAGGCAGGGATCATGAACGTGGGAGGTTCTATCCATATCCCTATGGCCAGAGGAAAGAGAGAAAAGCTCCTCTCTAGTCCATCTACTTTTTTTTTTTTTTTAAGATTGGGTTGAAGTGATGAAAGTTGAAATTAAATGTTGTCTTTCACTTTCCCAAAAAGGTGTGAAAACAGCGAAGACTCCTACAGAACAGTCTTTCATAAAGTTAACTACAGTCCCAGAGTAAAATTTCCTCAGCACCTAAAGAGATTTGAAGTGAGGATGTTCACCTTTGTACAAGGCACAACTCTGTTGGAAGAGCAGGTGAGATGTCTCCATTCTGTCACGTGCTGCTGGCAGTCCCGATGTGTGAGCCTGGAGCAGTGCGTGCAGCAAATGCTGTGTGAGATCTCGGCTGGCCAGGTGCTGCCTGGAGCTACTAGTCACCTCCTTGAAGGCATAACACCCAGAGTAGTGAATAAAGACTAGCTAATTCAGTGTTCAGTTAATCTCCTTTGGAGTCAGTGTATATATCACATGTTTGCCACATAAGACTCCCCTACGCACAATAAATATTCTTGTCTTGCAGCTGTATTTCCACTGCAGCGTGGTGATCTGCAGCACTATGCAGCAGCCTTCAGGCTTTCTTTGTCCAAAGAGATGCAATCCTGGGAATCACAGGCTTGGTAAGAAAACAGGCGCTTCTGAAATCACTGCTGAATCTTTGCTTGGCAACATGGCACATGCTCTCAGGAGCTGTGTCAGATGACAGACTTCTAGTCCTAGCGTGTGCTGTACAGAAAATTAAATGATGAAATATCTCCCTAGGCCGCAGTGCAAAACCACAATCACACGGGCAAGCGTCATCTGGAGCAGTGCTTTTTAGGAAGGAAAACGACTAGCAGAGGTTGGTGTCAATCCTAAATTACACTACCGAAATACCAAGCATACTGCTATTGTAACATAATGGACTTCTGTATGTGTTTCTTCTCACTGTAGGTGAATACACTGACTTTTAACTCTAAACAAGAACTTTTTATGAAGTTACAGTAGGTGGCCTAAGCAAGCACAGCCTGCCCAGACTTACAAGTAAGGACATCTTGGAAGTATCTACTAGGAAAATGTATATTGATGGTGTCTACTGAGAAAAGGCTCAGCTAACCAGCATGGACATACCTTTAAGTTAAATTACTGTGTTGCTCTCTTGTGTTCCTTTACAGTGTTGAACTGCGTCTCTTGTGTGACTTACATGTGACCTAGACTGCCCAGCTAACATGTCCAAAACTTGTGTCCAGTCACTTTGCAGTTGGACGTGTCTGGTTTGGAGTAGTGAGAGGAAGGTGGCGACAGGTGTGAAGTCAACTGTAAATCACTGGGCTTTTTTAAAGCTTCGGTATGAACAAAGGGTTGAAGGGAGCTTAATGTCAGTAAGAGAAACTGGTTTTTGAAGCAAGATGGGGACAAACATACTATAGTGGCTATTGACATAGGGGCTATATGACAGAAAAGCCACAAACTGTGGAACTCACAGGAGTGTTGTGGCTCTGCAATGTCAAGTTACCTTGCCTAGTGTGGGGGGAAATCATTCACATGTAGCATCAATGACTGCTTAGCTGAGGAAAAAGATCTTTCAGTGAAGACTTGTAGCAGTAGGTAGAGTCCATGTATTATTATTATTATTACAAAGTGTTAACAATTCTTCCTTACTAGATAACATGCTTAGGAGCTCCTGTCAGATTATAGACTTTTCTTCTTATTTTTCTTAATGGGAGGAAAATTTCTTTGTTTGCATCTGAACAGTGATGTGAAAACAGTTCAGATTCAATAGTGTATTTGCCTGTTCTAAGGAAAGCTATTGCTTATCATGAATTATTATCCCTTAGGGCTGAAGATACAATGATGAGTGTCTGCTTTTTATCTTAAGTAGAATCACCCTATAGGGAATTTCTGTGAAGGCTAACTTGATCAAGAAACTATTTTGTGAACCTATTTGCACTTTGTGAAAAAAGCATGATGTCTAAAAGGTTGTAGCTCTGTTGCTACAATACTTGTACAGAGATCCCACTAAACAGTTATGCTATAATTACAAGCTCACGTTTGTAAGTCTTCTGTTGTCAACTGTCTTCCAGTTGCCTGCTAAGCATATCTATAGTAGATGTCTTTTATTCTCACTTCTGGAAAAATCTGTGTGGACTTCGTAATGAGAGGACGTGTCAAATCCCTAGCTATGCATCAAGTGTGTTTTCCAATAGCAGAGGCTACCATTCTAAAGGAGTATTATTTTGTTACTCCTGTGGTAGGTGAAGACTAAAGCCATGGAGCTGTGATATTGAGGAATGAGATGTAAATATGTCAGGATGGGAATAAAAGGAAAATGTAGAATATATAAGCCTGACAGCAGACTTGATAAATCAGTGACTTCATGCTCAGTGTCTTCCCCTACATCGACCCGGTGGGTTAAGTACTAGCTATCCTTCAGTCTGCAGGCACAGTCTTTTGAGAAATCAAATGACACACCTGTAATATGCTGCCAGGGTTTTGCACCTAACAGAACACAAGTATGGGCACTTCAAGTGGCATGGTGACTTCCCTGTGTGTCTTACATTGTGCTGACAGTCTCCCAAGAAATGAGACTGTTACAGTGTTCTCTCCAAATAGGTGAGTACTAATCTTCATCTAGCACAGCGTGGGCTGCCTTGGGTAGCCTGAGCCACCTTCTCCCCTCTTACAGCTGTGCAGGAGGGGGAAATGTAGCAACTAGGGACTGCTGTTAGAACCAAGTGTGAGGTTGGGCAACTTATTTCAGTACTGCTATCTCAGCCTCTGTTGTGGATTCCTGGGTTTGTGATTCCTTTCTTCAAACCAAGACTTGAGGACAACATCACTTTTTGAAAATACCATCTTTCTATTCCAATCTCGTCTAAGGTATCTTCATCATTTATTTTCATAAGTCAGTATCTTGATTCTTTCTCTCTTGACAGGAATTTAAGAATTGTTGAAAAGAAAGATCCTGCCCCGGTAAACTGTGGCTCTACCCTTCAGCTCTTCTAAAAGCTCACCTTAATACCATTTTGCAAAATGAGATGTGTTAATAGATAAGATGATCCTTTACCTTTTTCGTATGTTGGAAAATTCAAGGAGATTATCATCCATTGTTGGACTAGGATTTATATAAACCTTCTTGTCAGATTTGTTTTCAACAACATGCAAGACACACAATCTATTTGAAAATCAGTAAAATCTTTTAAAGACATGACGGTAGTACTCTCTCCACCTCAGAGGTGTCTGTACTAAAAATCAGGAACTGCCTTCCTGGTTATATACATATATATATGAAAATAAAAGAAAAAAATCCTCTTCAAGTGTTTTATCAACACCTCTTTGTCTTTTAAGTGGATATTTTATGACCACATGCTTTTCCCCTTGGTATTTGGGAGGTTATTTTTATATCCCTGTTAACAGAAGTTGAAAGAAGATCAATCTTCTTTGTTTATACTTAATGTCTTCTGCAATTTCAACAGGTGAATGATAAAAGTTTAAGGGAAAAGAGAAGTCTGGTGTGACTTGTTTTTATAGGAAAATAGGAACAATAATAAAAGTGAAGTGCAGGCAGTTATTTCCACTTTAAATAACTGGTGGTAAGTCAATGCTACAAGTAGCCTCATATTTGGTCACTGACGGAAAGGCAGAGCTCTCATTTTTACTATAGTCTATTCAGTCTGTATTTGATGACAAGGCTAGTATATTAAAACTATGTACTGCTTTGTTGATTTAAAGCAGCAACAACTTATTATTAATCCTGAAAAATTAGGAAAACTGACATTTACTTTTTTTTGGCCCAATTAATTTTCTCTTTTGGTATATTGCTTTGTGTTTTGTTTTAAATCTCAATATCTTCAGTAAAAGAGTAAATGCTGTGCACCTATATCTAAAGGAAAATATGTTCTGACAATCATCTAATGATTTGGGAAGCTTTGGTTCAAGTTTTGGCTCCTGCCACAAGTCTGAGTATTCAGCTTGTCCTTCCCATATAAATGCTCTTTCCATTTGCGCGTGTGAGTCCAGACACACTGAAGCACACTGTTAGCTAGATCCTCAACATCCAGTCAAGAACATGCTTTCAACTAAATGTTTTAAAGCAAAGTAAGCTGAGTGGGTGTTTTTACACTACTTGGCATACTGATAAAAGAGTAAGCCTAGACTCATGTTGTTGTGTAAAGAAGGAAGAAGTCAGGGGCTTGATCACAGAGGGGGTTCTCATGGACCCAACTTCTCCAGCTCATTAAAAGCAAGCTGCTTTTTTGGGAGCTGGGACTTATCTCCACAAGTGAGTTTCCCATCTGTTAAATGCAATAATAGCATGTGTGGTTGTATGGAAAACAAATTGGGGAATAAAAGTCAAATACTGGCTCCTTAGAAGTTGGGGTGCATGTATGTATACATGTATATTGCGGGGTTGGTTTTTTTTTTGTTGGTGTGTTGTAGTGGTGGTTTTTTTTGTGTGTGTTTGTGGTGGGGTTTTGTTTTTGTTTTTTTTTTTTTTCAATTACTGCCTTGCAGAGATGGAGGGATGGCCCCTGGCAGCCCTTGGCAGAGGGGCTGTGGCAGCTCCCCCAGCAGCAGCTCCTGCAAGACACTGGTTGCAGCCCTTTAGCAGGAGGTTTTTTTCCCTCCCTAGGCACACCTATGTGCAGCCCAAATGTGTAACCATAAAACCTCTTGGCACCTACGTGGTGTTCCTCAGAGTAGAATTTCAAAGTGCTCCGTGTTGTGTGTGGGCGGGTGGCCCTGGGCTCCCCTCTGCTTTGGGGGTGGGGAGTGAGCTCTGCTGCTCCCAGAGCTGGGGCTTGCCCAGGGACCTTCTTCCATGTCTGGTCTTTTTAACCAGGAGGGAATATTCTCTCTGAGGTACTTATTCTTCCCACCAAGAGGGAACTTGACCCCCTTGCCCTCTCCAGGGCGTTTATCTAGATATTACTGCTGCTGGCAAGCACCACACCACTGCACCCTTTTATGGGGTGGGCAGCAAAGTTGTCACTCTGAATTCAGGTGGGAAGCCTGCTGTGGACAGGAAAGCTGTATGAAGTTCCTGAATCCTGGACTCATACCTAACCTACTAGGACTCCTCCTTTCCATCAGTGTACCTTCTGCTAAACAAAGCAGTATCATATACATCTAGCTGCAGTAGAATAGCCTCTGGTCTCTGAGGTAAGGGAAGAAACCCAGAGCCTATTCTAATACTGTTGATAACAGCAACAACTACTTTCAGCAACACCAAGTGCCTGGCCGATGGCACCAAAGGAGTTAACTTATAAAATCCATCATATGTAGCCCCCTGCCCTGCCTTGTCTTACCTAATAAAAGGCTTAGGATGGCTATGGAAGAAAGTTCCTCTTTTCTCTGGCTTCTGAAGCTTCAAGGGCTCTGTCTCTGCGATCAAACCTTGTCCCCCTTCAGCAATTCACCCAGAGGTGAGGCAAGGGTGCTGCTCTGAAGAGGGAAAGCTGCTCAGGAAAGCAGCTGGTGGGGTCCAGCCGTCTTGCCTATGATTTGGTGTCCCTCGCACATCTTTTCTCTTGCCATTAGCCTGCCACACTGCACTGCTCTCCAGTGTCTTTGGGCAGGTAGAGCATATGCATGGTCTGGGCTGTTTCTGGCTCAAGACAAACTGGTCTTAAGAAAAATTAAATTTTTATTTAATTTATTAATACATATGTTGACTGGGAGCACTTGTTAAAAGGCAAAATATCTACTGATAGAGTGCAGCAACTGACTCTGGGAGTAGCAGGATGGTATAGTTATCTCATCAGTAAACTGAGAGTGAAGGAGAAGTAGTTCAACCAAATTGCTGGGTTACTATATTGCTAGGTTTTTGCTGTGATTCTAAAACATGTTTCAGTTAATTAATTTCTGTTTAAGATCTTATGTTCTTCATCCTTCCTCTGTTTAGTATTTGCACACTTATCTGCTGCCCTTTCAGCATTATGATTGGTATCACTCATGAAGTATGATTTTATGTACCCATTTCTTATATGAGAAAACTGTGAATGCAGTATAAAACTATGTGGTGGCTTCTTCTTTAGTACCTGTGTTCTGTTCTCCACACTAGTGAGGAATTTCAGTGGTGTGCTAACCTGGAAAAGGGGGAGGTTTTGGGGTCGGAAGAGTCCATGTCATTGGGACTAACCTCAGTTTGTTCTCCTGTATCTCTTTCTCTTTAGTGTGGTAAACAACTTGCTTCCTTAAGCGGAATAT